AGTTCAATCATAATATATCTTCCATTTATGTCATTTCTTATTTCTTTTGCTTCAATCTTAGTATTTACATATATAACTATTCCTCTTTTTTCTTTTCTTTCAATGCCAAAATAAATTCTTTACCCAATTTTTTATTTTTAAAGTCTTTTATCTTTCTCTTTTATGTATGTTTCCTGCATACAGATTACATCCCATTTCTTTTTTCTTTTCTTTTTTTTTGTATATGATGGAATTTTTTTTTCTTTTCTATGGTAAATTGTCCTTTTATGTTCCAAGTTAGGAACCTCATTTGATTAATCATTTCTATATTTGTGGGTGAGTATTTCAAGTTATTTGTCTTTTAATTTATATCTCTCCGGGTCCCATTCTAGTTCTGCTCCACATTCATAATCTTCTTCCTCCTCTAATTCCTCTTCTTCTTCCTCTTGAGATCTTTCTAATCTGATTAAGTCTTCTCTGGATTCTTCTCCTTGACTGTTTTTCAGATATCTAGCTTCCTCTATTTCTGGTGTTGTAGTTTTTACTATTTCTTTTCATTCCCTTACAATATTTGTTTTCGTTACATCCTGATTTTGTTTTCTTATTTTTTCTTCTCTGGGAGATTTTGTCTTTTTTTCTTGTCTTTCTTTGCTTCCTCTTTTTTCCCAGTTCCTCTTTTTTTCTAGGAATTCCCAGAAATTCTTTGTCTCTTCCAGTGATTTAATTACTACTCTTCTTTTATTATACCAGAAGGTAAAGCCTTCTGGTTGGATCCATCTATATGGAATCTCCCTCTCTCTTAATGAAGATGTTAAAAAATAATAATCTTTCCTTTTCCTGAGTATGCTGGCTGGCACATCTTTAAAAAGTTGAAGCTCATAGCCTCTTATGATCAAAGGTGTTTCGTTGTGTTGCCTCAATACGTTATCTCTGGTTTGTTTTCTGGCAAAATACAATACGATGTCCCTTTCTTCTTGCAATTTTTGAGTTGAGTCGAAAAATTCTGTCCAGTTCTATCTCAAATTTTTTTCTTCTCTTTCCAAAAATCTAGCTAAATTTGTAGTAAATAATTTCATTAAATCTTCTCCTTTTGATTCTGGTAGCCCATGAATTTTTAGGCATTTCTCTCTTAATTTTTGCTCCCACACTGCTTTTTCGTCAAGTTCTTCTTCTTTTCTGATTTTTAATTTGTCAAATTCTTCTTCCACCAATTCTGCTTTATCTTCCAATCTAGAAATTTTTTGATTAATTATTGACATTTCATTTGTTAGTTTTTCCACTGTTTGATTTATTTCATTCAATTCTGTTCTTATTTTGTGATGGATTTCTGCCTTAAAATCGTTTAAGGAAATTTAGAAGTAATTAATCAATATTTTTTAAAAATAATATTTTCAAGAGAAAAAAAATCAAATCCAAAAGAAAAGTAAATTAACTATACACACTAAATATATACATATTGGTGGGGGAAAAATAAAATAAAATAAAATAAGGGGAAAATTATAATTTTTGGTGAATTGATAATAAAACTATCTGAATTAAATAAAAATGTCAATGAACTTGAGAAGTCAAGCAGTAAAAAGCTCAGCAACCAAATCACAAACACAACTACAATATGTAAGGAGACCACCTCTAGATCAACAAAAGACGGAACCATCTAACCAAATCTTACTAGATGAAATTAGGAAAATGAGGACAGAATTAAGGCAGGAAATGAATGATTTTATGATTCAGTTTTAGCTGCCATGGCAACTTGTTGTTGTTGTTGTTGTTAACTGTCCTCAAGTTGGTCCCAACTCATGACAACCCTATGAATGAGACATCTCCAAGACCCACTATCCTCCACTGCTGTGCTTAAGTCTTGTAGATTCATGTTCATGACCTCCTAATTGAGTCTAGCCATCTGCTGTGTGGTCTTCCTCTCTTTCTACTGTCCTCCATCTTCCCTAGCATTATTATTTTTTCTAGTGAGTCATACATTTTCAGGATGTGGCAAAGTACAACAGCCTCAGTTTCATCATTTTGGCATTCAAGAAGAGATATGGTTTTCTCTGTCCTAGGACCCATTTGTTTGTCTTTTTGGATGTCCAAAGTATCTTCATCACTTTTCTCCAACACCTCATCTCAAATGAGTTGATTCCCCCCCCCCCTTAATCTGCTTTCATATGCGTACATGATGTTAGAGGAATAATATGGCTTGGACAATTCTGACTTTGGTGCTCAGTTTTATGTCTATTCCTTAGGATATTTTCTAATTCTTTCATTACTGCCTTTCCCATTCCTATTTTTCTTATTTCTTGTCTGCAGTTGCCATTCTGATCAGTGTCTTATCCTAGGTATGGGAACTCTTTAATAATAATAAAAACGTGAAGTTTTTATTGGCAGATGAGGACAAAAAGATCACAGAGGAAGTTGCAAAGTTTATTTTTTCTGCTATCAGAATTTGTAAAGTCATGTGCTATAAAGACAACTAGTGCTGCTCTCTACCAGCTCAAACACTTATGGACAATTGGGGTGGGTTATGGGTGGGTTTAGGAAGTGGTGAGTCTGTTCACAAAACTCTTGTCATAATGTATTTTACATGTCTGTTTTTATGCTATGTATGTATTACTCTTACTGTGACTCTACTGGTAATTGTAGAAAATTTGCTGTTTGTTTGTTTTTGGGGGTTTTTTTGTCTGTTTTAAAATTGCCTATGGTTTGTTAACTGAAATAAAGGCATTCATTCATTCATTCATTCATTGTCTAGCTTGAATTTGTGTATTTCTTCTGTGGTCATTATTTTTGTTTTCTTTATGTTCAGCATTAATCCTGTCTTTGCATTTTCCTCTTTGACCTTTCTGAGTAACCGTTCCAGACCTGAAATGTTTTCCACCAGTAGTATGGTGTCATCTACATGTCTACAATTATTGATGTTCCTTCCTCCTATCTTCAATCCTCCTTCTTCTGAGTCTAATCCTGCTTTTATTATGATATTTTCTGCATACGTTGAACAAATAGGATGATAGAATGCAACCTTGCCTGACCTCCTTACCAATTACAAACCATTCTGTTTCTCCATATTTTAATTGTAGACTCTTGTCCTAGGTACAGATTTCTCATCAGACTATCAAAGGTAGTGGCACTCCTATGATTTTTAGAGCCATCCATAGCTTTTCTTGATTTATACAGTCAAATGCTTTGCTGCAATCTATAAACCACATGTTGATTTTAATTTTTTTTTTTTTGCAATTCCTTTGTATGCTCCATTATCCATTGTTTATTTGCAATCTGGTTCCTAGTGTCTCTATGGGCCTCGGCAGATGGCTTAAAGAGCCGTCTCTGAGGCCAGGAAGAGGAGGAGCAGCCGCACGCACGGCGCTCCTTCCTCTTCCTGAGGTTGCCCTCGGAGCGGCCAGCCCTCCACATGGCCAGCGCTCCCGGGGCAACCTCCCGCCACAGCGACCGCACGTGCTGCAGCAGAAAAGGCAGGGAAAGTGTGCCCTACGCTTTTAGGGTGCACTTTCCCTGTCTTGTGGAAGGAGCGCTGATTTAGCACTCCTTCCAGGGATACCGCAGGAGTGCCGGGGTGCGGAGGCTGCGGTCCCGCGGCGCTCCATCCGGCGGTGTCTCCGGGGCCTCCGTCTGCTTCCCCCCTATATTTCCTGAACTCTGCTTAGGGAGGTACATTTAAAATTCTCAGGCAGAGTTCTCCAGTACCCCATCAGACTACTGGTACCATGATTCCATAAGCTGTAACCATGACAGTTAAAATGTCATAATAACACTATAATTATGAAGTGTGAAAGGGCCCTTCATCCCTTCTAGATAAAATGGATTACAACTCCCATCATAGCTTCATGAGATGACCCAGACATCTGGCATAAGACTACTTTAAAGCATTATATAAGTTTTGTTTTTGCATGCTATTAAAAGTAATACAGGAGGGAAAAGCAAAGAAAACAAAGCAATATATGGAATACATTATGCAACAAGAGGAAGACAAAAGTATTTCCATGCAATTTTGCCCATGATAGCACATTTTATTGTCATAACATTCATGACTGTTTGGTACAGATAAAATATATTATTTGCATGATATTTATAACTGATGGTATAAGTCAATCCATGCTCTAGCCAGGTACAAACATCCTGAAAAACACCTTGGTCTAGAACCTATTGACAATCTTGACTAGAGCAGACCCACTGAATTGATAGGATTTACATATGTATTGATTTAACATTCAACAATTAATTCAATAGGCTTTCCCTATTTGAAAGTAACCAATAGGATACAGGGCCTCATATATTATTTCCTCTCTTTCCCTGTTGGCACAGTGATTAAATGCCTTTATTGCAGCCACTCACTCACAACCACAAAGTAGTGAGTTCAATACCAGCCAGGGTTCAGGCTCGACTCAGGCTTGCATCCTTCTGAGGTCGCTAAAATGAGTACCCAGTTTGTTGGGGGCAATTAGCTTACAGTTTTAACTGCTTAGCATGGTATGAAGTGGTATATAAATGAAGCTGCTGTTGCTATTCCTTTTTACTACACTACATTGTAACAAGGTGGCTATCTCCTATCCTCTCTCTTTTGAAAAAAAAATGAAATAGGAAACTATTCTATTTATTATTTTTGCACCTTCCTTCAGGGAAATTAAATTGTGCTGAAAAGTGAAATGCTTTCTTATTTTATATTAGAAATAAATAGATTCTTCATACTTTTTTCCATTACCATCCTCATGAGCAAGGAGTATGCAACCCTTTATGTGTTTTTAAACTTCAGCTCCCATCTACCTTAGACAGTGAAGGCAGTAGTGAGGGATCTGTAGTCCAATGACATCTGGAGGGCCTCACATCTTTCATCTCTGACGAACTGCTGAGTGTTGTTTTTCTTTTTCTTTAAAAAACATTTCATCCAGATAAACTTTAAAAGCTATGCATTGGTTATAGGCTAGGTTAATAGCACTTCATTCCTATTGATATCAGTGTGAAAGTCATGAATTTGTTCTTCCACATTGAAATATATAGGTTGTATATACAGAGCCAGTGTGGTATAGTGGTTTCAGCATTGGCCTATGACTCTAGAGACCAGTGTTCAAATCTCTGCTTGGCTGAAACTCACAGGATGACCTTGGACAAGCCTCACTCTCAGAGGATGGGAATGGCAAACCCCCTATGAAGAAACTTACCAAGAAGACCCTGTGATAAGTTCACTTTAGAATCACCATGTAGGAAATGACTTGAAGACACAAAACAATACACAGAGTAATCCCAGGGAGTATAGTCAGTAGGACACACATCTTCTCACATCCCAAACCATTCCCTTTCACATCTACCAGGACAGGAGGAGGAGGAGGAGGACCCATTTTCTCTGGGATTTTCATATTGGCTCATGCGTATCTTTTAACTTTTTTTACATTGCAAACAATGGTGAAACTTAGCTATGCTAATTGCAGTCCCTTAGGCTCAGAATGGGATCCAGCAGATCTAAATCTGGCTCCACCCTCCCCATTACCCTTGAAACGCATTGTTTTATATATCTCATCCCAACTACCACCAGCTGCAACACCAGTGAGCCAACATTGAGCTCAGTGGAGGGACTTCCACAATTACCTAGCTTCTCACTGCCGATAATAGAGCTCTTTACAAGGAGAAAAAAAGAGAACAGTAAATCTCGTGGTGATGAAAATGTATTTAATAATTATTTATACAGCGGACATGCTTTAGAGTGAAATATTCCTTGCTTATAAACTCATTTTTTTTTAAAAAAATAAACAAAGCCAAAGTCCCAGATTTTGTTCTCCCCCCCCCCCCCCCGATTTTATTTTGGAAATGTTTCATTTATTCCAGAATGCTTTTTGTCATCTCCTCAAACAATCAGAGACCTTTTATAGCAGCTCCCTAGGTTTGTTTATTTCAATCCAGTATAAAATCAAAAAGAACAAGAACAAAATCTGGGACTTTTCAACCAGTCCGGATGTACCCTATCTCACTAACAAGATGCTACCTTCTGTCTGAAACCAACCCTAGGGCCCAAATGGTATTAATTAATCTCAATTAGAGTAGATTCATTGAAACAACTGCTACAGTACATTTGATTCAATTTGTTTTTTTTATATAGTTGGGTCTAACCCTAAATTTCAGGATTATTCTGACATGTCCCAAATTTTTCTTATTAGAGTTGAGTTCCTTAGGTTAGACACATTTTTTATGTGTTCAGTTTTCTTTCAGTCGCTGAAAAACAAGGCCATAAAAGGCTAAATAAATAAATGCTGGACTGTTTCTTTCTAAGATTTTCTGATATAATCTGGTCACCACAATTACATTTCCATCTGTTTTATTTCTCAGATGGCCTGCTTACAAAACCAAAGACTGCTGACTTGGATTATTTATTGTACAGTAAATTGTTCTACAAGATGTTTTACCTTTTTGCACAGAAACTTATACCATCTTGTTTAGTTTGTTTTTAAGCACATTTGTAAAACTGATATCAACATTATTTAGGTGACACAGAACTTTGAGGCACAGGGGAATTAATGGCTTGAATGATGTGTAATGAAGCATGATGCGTTATTGTTTTATGGTACTCATTTAAAGGCATGGCCAGCTTAATTCAGGACTTTAATTTTCCCCCCTTATTCTTAAATTTTGGAGGGGAGAAAATGGCAAATAATTGAGGTGAGAAACAAAAAAATCCTGGGATAAACTCTCACCTCATTTAGGGCTACAATCCTATGCAAACATATTTAGGAGCTAATAATATCCAAAATCCACAAAATAGTGATACAGGGGACCCCCTCCTATATGCGAGGGATCCATTCTGGACCCCTCCCCCTGGTGTATGGGAATCCTGTTGATTCCTATGGTGGTGTGCTCTCCCACATGTTGTCACATGCATGCCTGTGGCACATATGCCCTTTTGTTCTCTGGGCTTGATGTATGCATAAGCTCAAATCCTCACACAGCAAGCCCCCATATGGCATGGGCATGCTGTACTTTTATTGCTAACCAAAATGCACAAAATACATGATGCAAGCTTTTGAAGCTCCACTGGCTTCTTCATCAGTCAAAGGTGTTAAAATCATACTTAATTTTTCCCCCTGTATGATTTTTAAAACCTTTGCCTGATGAAGAACCCAGTGGAGCTTCAAAAACTTGCATCATATATGAGAGGTATTGTAAAGTTTTAATTGTCACCTTTAAAATATTTTTACAGAAAGTTTTTTTGATTTGTAGTTGTTAACTTATCTCTACATAGTCACTATCCAAATTTACACATTTTTCCCAGTGTTTCTTAACCCTCTTAATACTGTTATTGTAGAGGTCTGCTAAACCACTCTTCCACTTCATGAATGACATCATCTATATTGCCAAACTGATGACCCTGCAATGGATTTTTCCTTTTTGGGGAAAGAAAAAGTCACTTGGTGATGATGACACTGACAAAATTTCATCAATATACAATATTAACTTCCAGGTGATAATTATTACTTTACGATACCCCCTTGTACTTCTCCATCTTACATTTTAGTCCCTTCTGGCAGAACCTGTAACAAAAATAAAGGACACAATGAGCTGATTTTCTTAACATCATGCACCTAGAGACCAATGATGACACTGATAAAATTTCATCAATATACCACAATAATGTCAGTTGATAATTATTACTTGAAGATACCCCCTTGTATTTTGTGCATTTTGGTTGACCAAATGAAAGTATCACTATTTTGTGGATTTTGGGTGTTATTGTACTTTGCTATGTGGCCAACATGGCTATTCCTGAATATATTTCGGAGTTAGTATTAGTGAAATCAATGGCATCACTCATAGACAGTGCCTGGCTGTTTGCTGGGCAAAGCTTCTTACATTGATTAACTGCACTCTTTGCTTGGTTCTGAAGTTACTTGAAGGAACGTCACATCATACAACAAAAACATCCATACAACAAGAACATGCATACAACAAACACTGAAAAAAACAGAGACATGGGGCCACCCCTGCAGTTATAGGAGGGATTTTAAATAGTGAGGTCAGGAAGTCTTGAAAGGAAGAAAGTACAGAGGGTGTCTGTAGTACTTTTTTGACTGTACTGTTAGTTATTCACAAGTTGAGCTTAATACAGATGTCCTTGTATTAGTATACTAGTTTAGCAAAAATATGCTGCAATCTGGTACAGCATTTCTATACAGGTGGCCATTCACTGACCCCTGGACCTACCATGTCATTGCAGCCCTCTCCCATACAGCCATTTCATGGCTGGTAAGAGTGGTGGGTGAACAGAGAAGCATCTAGATATGTTCTCAATAGCCAGCCATGAAATGATTACATCCTCCATTGAGGTCCGCTGAGTTCTGCACAGGTCTCAGTGGATGATGAAAACATTTTGCATCTGGCTGCAGGGGCATAGCCAAATACTCCTCTAATTCCCCATTGCTTTCACCAGGCATAGAAGGGCTATGGGGGAGGACTGCTATGACTCTACAGTGGTCTTTGATCAGTGCAGAGGGAAGAAGGGAATATCAACTTCTGCATTGGCCCAAATAAGACATACGCATATACATAGTATACTAATAAAAGGACATTTGTATTAAACTCAACTTGTGAATAACTATAGTCAGTTGACTTCTTGATGAATTGTCATTCACCAGCTTAACACTGCCCATGCTGGTTGGAAAATCTGCCCATGCTGGTTGGAAAATCCAAATCCAAAATAATTGTAGGCTAAGTACAAAGTGTCAGAAGACTCATTCCAGATCTGTATACACATTCAAGATAAGATACAAAATCGTGGCTTCACTCAACTCCAAGAGATACTATTTCCCAGTGGCTTTAGGGGACTCTTTCCCAGAAGGCTCCACAAACTTGGCATGCCTCTTCCTTTGGATGGTTGAAAGACAAAAAAGTGAATAATCTTCCCACCTTGATTTACCAGCAGTTCATAATCATTCAATTTATATTACTAGGCCTCTCTAAGCAAGATCAGGCCAAGACATTTTTTGTCTTAGTATTCTGGGCTTTTGCCATCAGAATAATGGATTTATGAGCATAACACCTTTTCTTTGTACAATTAAAGGTCACAACATAACCTTGAAAGGTTATTTTGAAAGGTTATTTTGCCTGAGCCCATATCTCATGGAGCATTGTTATTGAAATGTCCCTTCATTAACTACAGCAACAGAAAATGTCCAAAACTGCTTGCATATTAGAAACATTGCTTCAGGCCACATACTTATATTGCAGTTGTCAAGATTTTCTCTTTAGCCACATAAACTAGATATTTGTCATTATAAACCTGAAAGTTGAGTCTGAATGCCATTTCCTTTAGTACCCATTAAGTCAAGCTTCCATAGCACTATGTTTTGTTTGCCTATAAATGAACATGGCTGACTTTATTATTAATGCACTTTGACTGATTATTCAGCTTGCAAGAAAAGGGAATGCATTTGCTCTTTTTTATAACAGCACTTTGTACTCTGTAGGGCTCAGTAACTCAGTAAGAATTTTAGGTTGTGGAGAGATCACCAACAGAGAGCTTACCCTTCCAAGTGGGAACATACTGCAGACCTTCTCTGTAACAACCATTTATCTTGCTAAAAATAATCTGTATACCCATCAGACCACTGCTGGGGTTGCTGTAGATCTTTATTATTTTCTCTTTGTAGCAAAATATATTCTACAGTTTTAGTTACAGAAACAAGCATAAACTGCAAGAGAAAAACATTCCTTTGTATAGCAATAATTCAGCCATTTAGGTAGGCAAGAGTCTATGTTATTGAGTTCCTTCAAGGCATTTTGAACTTTTGGCAACCTTACGGTGAAACATGATAAATGGAGTTGTCTTGGAAAGATATGTTCGGGGAGGAGGTTACCATTGCCTTATTTTGAGGTTTAGAGCGTGTGATTTGCCCAAGGTCACTTAGTGGGAATTTGGATACTGACACAAAAACCACTATATCACACTGAATCCTCACAAGAGTCTACCATCTCAGAATTTACATGGAGAGGACTACATATCTGAAAAATCACATTTAACTAGTTCACATGGATGAAAATGATGGGAGCAGACCTACATCCATTGACCCTAGCACCCAAGCCCAGTGTGAATCTCATAGG